CCACTGAAAAAAACACTTCATTTCCCCCAACCAGTGATATCCAAATCATATTTTTGTGTCTAATGTTTGTTTTTTACACTTGTAAAGCATAAGCATAAAAAGTTGACAGTAGTTAACTTCAATGCCCCCTGCAAAATAAATCTAGAACCTGTAATCAAAGGTTTTATTCTAAGAGACTCAAAGAAAATATTTATCTTAGTATTTTTTACAGGCTTAAACAACATTCTGACATTAATCTTAACATTTTGTTCTTTCACTCACTTACCAAAAGAACTTACAAAACAAAATAGACTAGTCATCCTGCATTGGCCCTGGAAGCAGACTGGATACAGGTCATGCTAAAATGGACTTCAATGTCACCATTGTCAAACAATTTTTGGGAGCCTCTAACAAGAGAGCACAAAACCATTTTCAAAGATAAATTGTGTCCTCTTATAAGAAATCACAAACAAAAAGAAAATATTCTGTAGTCTGAGCACACCTTCCCGGGGCAGGGTGCTGGAGGGGAGAGAAAACTAAAATTCAACTGTCATAATTTCCCTTTTCAAAGGCATTTGTCAAAACAGCCTCTTATTCTTGGCAACTAGCTAATCTGAGAGTAAATACAAAAACCAAAATCTCAACGAAACTAAATCTGGTCACATTTGTTTTTCTGTGGTCAACTGGTTCAATCCCCATTTAAAAGGAAAACCTCTTAAACATCGTCACCAAAGCAACAATCCGCTGTTTTGCTTTTTTCCTAACTGTTTTCATTTAATAAGTACATAAGTTCTCTGAGCACCTGAGGATTTCCCCCTCCAACATGAGCTCACTGGGCTATGACTTAAGTTTCTGACTTATATTTTCTTTAATGACCTCATGTTTTTGTGCCCAAAAAAAAAAGTTTTTCTTGTTTTCCTTTTTTTAAAAGATTTATTTATTTGTGCATACAGAACTGGGGTACAGGCCAGAGGAGCAGGAACCTTGCGAGGATTCCCCAGAGACAGAGTGGGGAGCAGAACAGGCAGATCAATGAAGTACACTGCTGAGGGGAGCAGCGGGGCGGATCAGGAGAGGTCTGCCACGCCATGTGGGTCACCTTCAGGGCAGGCGGAGATTGAACTCATGCAGAAGTGGCTTTGGCTTCTTAGTGCTGTGCCACCAGGAAGGGCCCAGCTTTTGTTGTTTAAAGTCACTCAGGTATAGGTTGGCATCTCAAAGTAAGAATCCCAGTGGACTCTGTTCTATGAGCACAAAATAAGGAGAGAGATGCATGTCACTTTTGGTCTCTGCTATATGCTCAGCACCTAAAAGAGTGTCTGTTATATGCAGACACATGGATACAATAGTTTAACAAATAGCTCAGAGCTCACATCTGTCTGATTGTTAGTGCAATTTCCCAGAGAAGTCAGACAGCACTCAGAGAGAAGAGAGATTTATTTGTCATACCAGAGGGCTCAGTGTGATGGGCCCCAAAAGGCTTAGCCCCCAACTACAGGAGAGGTGAGGCTTTACACAGGTTGTATGAGGAAACTTGTCATCCCATCCATTATAGCATGAGCATTCTTTATTGTTTGGGAGGGGGTCAAGGTAGCCTCCACATTCTCCTCTTCAAATCAGTCACTCCTCTCCCCAATATTAACAAACACATTCATTGAACATTGTTCTAAATGTATTCATGGTCACAATAGTCTTGAGTCACACTATAACTACACCCTTTTTTTCTAAAAAGGTAGCTAAGACATAGAAAGTTTAAGAAGCCTGTACAAGGATACAGAGCTAATAATCAATAGAGCAGAGATTTAAACCCAGTCTTGCTCCAGAACATGAACTTGTAACCGTTAACATTATTCTACCGGTATCCACTATGCCTTCTTCCCCAAGCTCTGGCCCCAAATATTCTCTTTATTTACCCATTTCCATTCTGCATAATGAAAATCAATATATAATCTCTATATACATGATGGCAGATTTCAGACTTGTAGATTATGTAAATAAAGGGAAGGTAGGTATTCAAGTGGAGCTTTTCAATCTCCTTGCTTTTTATGTGGTTAATGTTATTCATGAGTGATTAGTATAGCAGTATGACCCCAATCATAAAAACATAAAATATGAATTTTAAAAAGTAAGGCAAATCCAGAAAAGGTAAGCATATTAGATTGTACGTCCTAAAAAGATATTTAAATTAAAAGTATATTTGGTATTCAGGAGGCCTGGAGGTAATATTTGACACTATATAATCATCGCTTATCACCAGGTTGTCTAACAAGATTGAAAGAAATGAATTTCTCATTAGGCATTATCAGACACAAGTGCAATGAATATTCAGTAAGTTCACTGTTCTGTAAAAAGTCCATCTAAAACTTAAATCTCCTTTTAGTAATGATCGCTATAACTAAAGAATGAAGACAAATAACACAAACTCAAAGCAACCAAATTAGATTTTTAAACATGTTCAACTTAGCACACACACTAGCTATAATAAAATGAGGTGTTTTGAGTACTCAAGTGCTACAGTGTTTTTTTTTTTCAGCTTTCTTTCCTAACTACAAAAACATTAGAAAATGCTTCATTCTGTTTCTTTAGCTAAGTTTTCTTTTTCATTATGCAAACTCTATGTATGTAGAAAGGCATTGTTTTCCTTTTTTCATAACTGTAAATTCAATCTTTCTGTTCTCACTAGAACAGAATCCTAGTGAGAGATTTTTGTGAAGTGGCTGGCAGGATTAAGGACCAGGATGGGATGCTTTCCAGAAATTTGCCATTGCAGTAAACCAGACCAAGGAGGGCAGTAAAATAATAATGGCTACCTGTAGCTTTAACTCTGTTCTACAAATAATAAGTGCAGAAGTACACTTCATGAGCAACTCTAAGGGGTTTTCTTTGACATTGAAGTGAAGAGAAACAATTTAGTAAATTAGGGTTTTGTTTACTCTCTTTCATATGACAAATAACCATTGTCTCTTCCAGTTAATACATCTATTATAATCTATAAAAAACACAAAGCCTCTCACCCCCCTCACCCCCACCTCTGGCCTGTACCCCAGTTCTTGTATACATAAATAAATAAATCTTTACAAAAGAAACATACAAAGCTAAATGGGTGAAATCATGGAAACAACAATAGAATACAATAGTATAATAGTTATTCTTCATTTTCTGCATTTGCTGATTTAGCATCTTGGAATCATGGGGCCACACTAATGACTCACGGTTTCTTACACCTCCACAATGGGCATGAGGAAATCTTATTGCAAACCAGCTAACCACAAGCCTCAACTGTGTTTTGCTTCCTGACAATAGAGGATGTCCCCTCCTGGATACTTACTGTCACTATAATAATAAAGGTTTAGTCCTACTTCTCTTTTTCTCTATGCTTCTCTATATGAGTGATCCCATATGATCTTCTATGGCATGTGGTACCACCCATCCCTTGGGGAATTGTGTGTAATAAACTCTTCTTTCAAAGGTAATTATGTCTGTGTCTGCATCTTACAGTATCTAACCAAAACAAAATCCAGGTTCACTTTGTAAGAAAATACAAAGAATAGTTTCAAAACAGAATCCTTTATGCAAGCCCCCATCAGCCTTCATACCTAATCTCACTGCAATTTCAACCTGTCCAAAAGTGTAATCCTAAACCAATCAATTTGCTGCTTCTAGATCAGTATAAGAAACACCTGCCCAGCCCTTGAGGAAAATTTTACCTGAAATAACCTTTTCTTTTGCTAATAACTTTACCCATTCTCCTTTCTATAAGTACTCTCTATTTTATGTAAACTCTTTAAGTATCTAGGTGAGAGGCTACCCAATTCATGAATAGTTTAATAAAGTCAATCAGATCTTTAAATTTGTGACTTGGTTTTTTTACATTAATATGATCTCAACAAATTATTTTAAATTTTCCTCTCCAATTTTCTTTTATCCTTCAGTATGTACTATCACTATTTTTAGCTCTGTTAAAAGATAAAGCAAGGCTTTTGAAAAATGTGAAGATTTTATTTGCACAAACATCAACTAGAAGCTGGCAACTCCACAGAAAGTGGTGAGGAGTATCCCACCAGCAGGATCTAATGGAAAGGTTCTTTATAAAGACTCTTAAAGCAAGAAAATCCTTTTACTGGTTGACTATGTTTAAGTGATGATCTTCATTGAAAATGTCTACTGGGCCCTTCCTGGTGGCACAGCAGGTTAAAGTGAAGCATTACAAAGCTAGCCGCTCCTTCTTCTGCACGAATTAGATCCCCACCCAGGGAGGTGACCCACAGGGCATAGCAGACCTCAGGGCATAGCAGACCTCTCCTGTCTCAGCTCTGCTCCCCTCAGGAGTGTATTTCAATCAGCCTGAGAAGAATTATCTTAATCTCAAGCTGATTTGAAAAGAAATGCAAGTTAAAACAACAAATGACATCATTTTCACCTACTAAATGGCCAAAGAAAACCTTACATACTACGATGATGCCAGCTAGGTTCAGTAAAACATGGGAAAACCCTATACTAAAAGCTCAGTCTGGGACACCCGAATCTCCCTGAACCGTGGCAATTTTGCACAGGTTATATGGCTGGAAAATGGGCATAACGTAGCTACCACACAGAGCAGTTTCAGGTTCAAATGATATGCAGTGGGAAGAGCGATATAATTGTGACTTTTTGTTCAATGTTTTTGTCCACGGGTTTGCTTTTTGTAGGCTTTCCAGCAGAAAGCTCTGGAATCACAGGGAAATCTATTTTTTCGGGAAAACTGCAGATGCAATGTACCGGAGTGAAGGGTCATTAAGTATAGTAGACGGCAATGAGCAAATACCAACGCAGATGAATCGCGCTCTCCCTCTGGGAGACACCCAGGGCCCCGGGGTCCCCAAGCCGCCCCACCTTGCACCCGCAGCACCCGCATCCCCAAAGCAAAGGCGGTGGGACGCGCGGGATCCACAGCGCTGATTGGCTGCCTGTGAGAAGGGGGCGGGGCTGACAGGGTCTTGGGAGGGCGCACGAGCGGAAAGTCCTTGCCGCGTACTTCCGGCCTTTGTGGCTCGGCGCTCCGGGTTTGCGGCTGGGCTTCTGGCCGCTCCTGGGCTGTGCGGTGAGGGACGCGGGCCCTGAGGCGGAGGGAGGGCGGGAGGCCGCGTCGCCTGGGCGGCGGGCGCGGGGTACAGGAGCTGGGCTTCCCGGCCTGCCAATTCCCGAGTCGCGTCCTCTTCGGGTGGCGTCTCCGAGCGTCCTGGGGACGCAAAAGCCAGCACTCCAGCCCCTGCTTTCCAGCGGAGAGGACAGTTCGGCCCCTGGCCCCTGGCTTGTGAAATGCTGTGCTTTCACCGGGATAGGAAAATAGGCTGGTGTGACCAGGCTGATTAATAAGCCGCAGACTTGAAACCTAAATATGCTGATCACTAAAAGTAGTTGTGTTAGGGTTAAATTCTAGTTAGCGGTCCTATTAATTCAAGGGCACACCCGCCTGTGGGTGTTTACCTATTCTAAAATCAGATTAAGTTTGATCTCAATCACCAAATAAAATACATGATTATTTGTTGACATTTCACTTGAAAAGTTCTTACTCCAGTTTGTTCTAAACTATTTGGAGAGCTGAAGTTGATCTTTTTCTTTGTTTCTCTATAGCCAGCATGTTTTTGAATGCGTGGTGAGCAGTTAACAAATACTTCTTGGTTAATTCCTGTTATTTATTCATGAGCAAATCCCTTTTACCTGTAGTAAGTGCCCATTGTTGTTGAATTCAGTGACTATCAAATTTGATCTAATCGCAAATATCTGGTTTGTGTTTAAATCAACTCGTGTTTAAATGAATTTTTTTTTAAAGTTTCACTGCTGAGATGAAAATCAACATTATTTACTATAAATAGTAATTTAAAATACATCTTTTAAGGCAAGGATTATTATGCCCTAGCTAATTATTATTACCCTTGAAGTCTGAGGACTATACTTTTATTAAAAAGGGAATTCAAGATTTTACATGTCTGTTAAAGACAGATTTTTCTCCTTGCTGTAATTAGAATTGAAAGTAACTTGGAAGTTTCTTAGTATGTAAATACTGAATTATAATACTTTTAAAACAATGTATGTAGGACCCTTTCTGGTGGTGCATTGGGTTAAAGCACAGCACTAAGAAGCTAAAGCCACTTCAGCATGAGTTCTATCCCTGCCCCGGGAGATGATCCACATGGCTCAGCAGACTTCTCCTGAACCACCTGCTACTCCCCTCAGCATTGTACTTTTGTCAGTTGGCCTGTTCTGCTCCCCACTCTGCCTCTGGTGAATCCTGGCACTGCCCCTGCACCTTTGGCCTGTACCCCAGTTCTGTATGCATAAATAAATAAATCTTTAATAATACAATGTATTTAATCCCTGGTGGCAGGGATTCTACACATTAGGAAACACTGAATGAGATGAGTGATTTTTTTCATTGGTTTAATTATAGTTCCAAAATTTTCAGTATTTTGCTGTGATGACTGACCTTTATTATTTAAGTTCTTTGTAATTTTTTTCACTGCTGTAAGTTAACGGTGCTTTTATATCCTTCAGGAAATAAAAAGGTTACTCAAAGGAAAACCTGAAGCACACCACCCAGTTGTAGTGAGTTTTTGTTTTTTTTTTGCTAAGCTCTTTCAGTGCAGAATGGCTGTGGAAACCAGAGCACTTTCAACCCTCCTACCTCAGAATCCTCAGGAACAAGAACTAATACTAGTGAAAATAGAAGAAAGTCTTTCCTGGGGCTCAAAACTTAAACAGAATAGGAGCACCCGATCCTGTCAAGAATTGTTTCGCCAACAATTCAGAAAGTTTTGCTACCAGGAGACACCTGGACCGCGGGAGGCACTGGGCCGACTCCAGGAGCTTTGCCATCAGTGGCTCATGCCAGAGTTTCACACGAAGGAGCAGATCCTGGAATTGCTGGTGCTGGAGCAGTTCCTGAGCATTTTACCTGAAGAGCTGCAGGTCTGGGTTCAGCAACATAGTCCACGAAGCGGCGAGGAAGCTGTGATGCTGTTGGAGGATTTGGAGAGGGAATTTGATGATCCAGGGCAGCAGGTGGGAACAGGAGAAGTAACATGTTGTGAGAAAAGGAACTTACAGATGAGCACGTGTCATATAATAGAAGTAGGATGGAAATTTATCTTTACTGAATCATAACCTGAAAGTGACTATTACACTAGTACAGTCTCTATCCTTGAGTTGTTCATTTCCCCTCATTGAAGGGGAAAAAAAGAGGTCTTCACTGACCTCTTTGAAAACTTTACTGAGTAGTTTCCCTAGGGATTTCCTCAGGAAGCTAACCGTATTTTACTGATTTCAGGTCCCAGTTAGTCCGCAGGCACCAGAGGTGCCTTGGAAGGATTTGACGTGTCTTGGAGCACCTCAGGAGTTAAAGACACAGCTGAATTCCTGGGAGCCTTACCTTTCCTCCACAAGTGGTAAGAAATAGAAACTCACCTGGAGATTAATTAGCAGTTCTCTAGCTTTAATTGCATTTTACAGAAATGTCAGGTGTGGGCCTCACCTTTATTGTTATAGACCAGAGACCTCACTTCAGCAGCTTTGTTTTCAGCAACCTTCATGAATTGTAGTCATTCCCTCCTGGTGTTAATCACTTTTCATTGTGTAATTTATTAGAATGCTAAAATATGTCTAGTTTCATGGTGCGCATTGGCTCTCTGTCTTTAAAGAATGTTAAGGTCTAAACAGGATGATAGACAAGCAAAAATGCAATCACAGCATATAATAAAAGTAGCCAGTGGGTTTTTTGGAGCATATGTTTGGCACCTGGCTATTCAATGTTAGAGGTTCCAGGAACACTTTGGAGAAAGACATCTAAGCTAAGACTTCAAGTGTGTATCAGTGGGAAACAAATAAATAGATGGGCATAGAAGGGAAAACTGTTCCTCTACTTAATACTACTAACATCAGAAGTGTAGGATTTCCCTGGCATTAAGTAGTCCTGACTACCCAGAATTTGCTCATACCCTACAGTTCAGGGTTCAGCCTCACAAGCTCTCCCTCAACCAGAAAATGCTAATCTCAAGAGCAATACCTTGGGTTAACCTTCTGTCCAATTAGGCTACAATGCAGAGAGTTTGTGACCATTTCTCTCAAGTTTCACAATTTATAATAATGGCTCACAGAACTTGAGAACACCTTAGTTTTACCAGTGTATTATAAAAAATATGCTGTATAATAAGAGCATGAGACAGAAGTGTCCTGAGCTCAGGAATTTCTACCCCTGTGACTTTTTAGTGTGCTACTTCCAGACACAAGAAAGCATTCACCATCCTGGAAGCTCTGTGCCATTTTTTTGTAAATTTTTTTATGGTGGTTTCACTACTTTGGCATGATTGTTTAAATTTTGGCCAAATGTTACTGACTCAGTCTCCAGCCCCTGTCCCTGATCGTTGGGTGAAACCAGAAGTTCCAACTCTCCAGTTATATCATTGGTTCCTTTGGCAGCCAGCCCCCATCCTCCAGTAATCAGTCACTTGTTAGCATAAACTTAGGTGTGGCTGAAAGGGGCTTATTATGCATAACATGAGATACATCTCATCCCTACTACTCAGGAAATCCCAAGTGTTTTGAAAGCTCTGCCAGAAACTGGGGATGAAGACCAAATACATATTTTCTATATATCCAAGAAGCAGAAACCAAATTGCTAAAGGTGAGAGAATACTTGCCATTCTGGGAACTGCAGATATGGGAGGTCCCCATTTAATGACGTTTCAGTGGAAACTATATTTCAGATTTTGAATTTTGATCTTGTCTTGGGCTGCCAATATGCAGTACAATACTTGGATGATATGGGCAATAGCAGTGACCTTTGAAGCTCCAGTTAGTTACTCCAGGATGAGGTGTCACTTTACAGTGTCGCCAGTGTTTTTTGGATATTATGTTTTAGTTTTCATGTTCAATATTATATCTGTTTCTCACTTTCAGTATAGTATTCCCCTACAAATTACATGAGAAATTCAAGCATTTTTCATAAGTAGGCTTTGTGTTAGATGGTTAATGTAATATTTCTGAGCACATAAAAGGTGGGCAAAGCAGAGCTGTGATGTTCAGTACCTTTTTATTAGATGCATTTTCTATTTATGGTATTTTCAACTTACTCTGGGTTTATTGGATCATAACCCCATCATATGTGGAAGAAAATCTCAGTTTAGCTTGAGTAGAGAATTTATAAGGGAGTAGTGGTGAGAGATGAAAAGAGTAAAATGGGACCTAGCCTATAAATCTTACCTATAGTCCTAATTAGCTTGTACACTAGAGTTGGAGTATTGTTGAAGGATTTTGGACACAGGTGTGGTTGGATTTATGTTTTAGAATTTAGCTGCAGCATGGAGAATGCATTTGAGGAAGTCAAAGATTTGTAGTAAACCACAGTGAATAAATCAAGACATAGTATGTATTATAATAAAGAGGCAGGGTAGATCAAAACCAACTTTTTGGGGGCCTATTTAAATTGCATTGCAGTAGCTGGTAATTGCAAAAAGAGGATCCTGATTTTTATCAATCTATTCTTTTTAAAGTTATTAATATCTTTTGTTAATAAAAACTTTGTTACCTCCCCCTCTACCCCCACACCCAAAATGTAGAGCTTGGAGGAGAAGATTTGAAGATGAAACTCAGATTTCCATCTTGAATAATCAGGTTAATAGTGGTGCTATTCATGTACTGGGAAAGCATAAGGGGGAAATACATCTGATGATATGTTCAATTGTTTGGTTTAGGAATTTTTGGTGCTTGTGAAGTATTCACAAGTACTATCCGCAATTAGCAGTTGGGTATGAGAGTCTAGAGCTCAATAGCGAGAACTAGGATGGAATTGGAGACCTGAGGAGACATTAGCTAATGTAAGTAATGATTGAAGTCTAGGTGATAGAGTTTGTAGAGTGAAGATACACTAGAACCCAGATCAGACACTGAAAGAGATTGTCTCTAGAAGAAGGTGTGGCCCCCAGTGTCCATGCTGCAGAGGGGTTAGCTAAGTAAGTTCTAGAAAGTAACCATTGGATTAAGCAGCTGTAGAATTGGTGACATTGATGACAGTAGCAAGGAAATTAAAGGCATTAAGTAGAAATCTTGTGCAGAATTGGGATGAGTATAGAAACCTTTGACTGGGAATGGGAATGAATGAGGTTGCGGCATTTTATTTTAAAAGATTGAAAAAGTCTGACAGTTGTCATTGAGAAAAAGGTAGAATAATAGACAAGGAATAATAGGTAAGTTTCAAGTTTCAGAGGAGACTTGAAAGGATGAAACTCAAACTATGTATTAGTTTTAGACTATGTATTAAACTATTTAAACTAATACATAGCTTAAACTATGTATTAGTCCTCAGTATTAGAAAGGAAGAAAAGAAGATGGACTCTTATGGGGAGTTAAAAGATGCATGAGGGCACTGACATCTTGTGTTAGGTAAAAACTCCTGTTTTCTCATACAAAGAAAGTGAGTATCGAGAGTGACTAGAAAAATGTGAAATCTGGCTTTTGTTATTTTCATTTCAGATTGTGAGAACAGTGACTCAGCAACAAAGAACCCTTTGAGAGAAAAGTCACAAGGACTTCCCCAGGAGCCTTCATTTGGAGGAGTCAGTGAACACAAAAGCAATTTGGAATGGCAACAAGGACATGCCACCAGGGAGAATTTAAGATCCCTTTCCCAAGGGAGCAGTTTTAGCCAAGTAATGTTCACACACAAATCTCTGGATAAAAGAGACAATCGTGATGAACCTCAAAGAAACTTGATTCTAAGTACAAATTCTGTAACATATCAGAAAGTTCCTACAGAAGAGCGACCTTATAGATGTGATGTATGTGGACACAGCTTCAAACAGCATTCCTCTCTAACACAACATCAGAGAATCCACACTGGAGAGAAGCCCTATAAGTGTAACCAGTGTGGAAAGGCCTTTAGTTTAAGATCCTATCTTATTATTCATCAGAGGATTCATAGTGGTGAAAAAGCATATGAATGTAGTGAATGTGGGAAAGCCTTTAATCAGAGCTCAGCCCTCATTAGACACCGGAAAATTCATACTGGTGAGAAAGCTTGTAAATGTAATGAATGTGGAAAAGCATTCAGTCAAAGTTCATATCTCATTATACATCAAAGAATTCACACTGGTGAAAAGCCCTATGAATGTAATGAGTGTGGGAAAACCTTTAGCCAAAGCTCAAAGCTTATACGACATCAACGAATACATACAGGAGAAAGACCTTATGAATGTAACGAATGTGGGAAAGCTTTTAGGCAGAGCTCAGAGCTGATTACCCATCAGAGAATACATAGTGGAGAAAAACCCTATGAATGTAATGAGTGTGGAAAAGCCTTCAGCTTGAGCTCAAACCTCATCAGACATCAGAGAATTCATAGTGGAGAAGAGCCTTATAAGTGCAATGAATGTGGCAAGACTTTCAAAAGAAGCTCAGCCCTTGTTCAGCATCAGAGAATCCATTCTGGGGATGAAGCTTACATATGTAGTGAATGTGGAAAGGCTTTCAGGCACAGGTCAGTTCTTATGCGCCATCAGAGAGTCCACACTGTAAAGTAACTTGAGAATACTATAAATACTTCAGATTTATGTTTGTCAAAGGATTTACTTGGAACAAGACTTCATAAAGGTTATAAACTACTTGAGTCAGTCAAACTTTCTGTAGCACTTACCAATGATAATGCAAATTGTCCCTTCAAAGCTGTTCTATGACATCAGAACAACAAATGGAAGAATCACTACTTCCAGCTTTTTTCTTACATAAGGAATACTCAGGAAATATAAAAAATGGGAATGTAACATTGAAACCTCATTTTCCATGAAAAAGGAAGAGAATATAGCAGCCCCAGTTCTGTCACTACATCTGTTTGTCATAGTGCAGGTTGGAGGATGTGGGACAGTATTAAGGACATTTTGTTTCAGGAACACAGAAATTTTACTGACTCATTGAGAACAGTGACAGGGCCTTAAGCCAGATGGTGAGACTTTCATCATTGATTTGTTGGCTGTGGGTAGGTCAGAAACGAGATACTGAGAATAATACCAGTTAGTTTATCCAACAGTTTTTGAGTGCTATTTCTATGAGGCACTAAGTATCCAAAGAAAAATAAGACATTGTCTCTATAGTTTAATGGGCAAGACAAGGAGGCAATGACACTGTGATATGGTCAGTTCTCTGTGACATTAAGGAGTGCCAGACCCAACCTTGTATCGGAAAGGCTTCTGAGGAAAAGGGCCTGAAACATGAGTAGGAGTTAGCCAGAGAACAGTGTTCCCTGGAGAGATCAACAGACCAAGGCAAGACCTTTTAATTTTGAAAATTAAAAGGATATTTTGTGTAGAGTATTTCTGTTGCATTCCTTTGAAGTGGAATAATGTCTGTAAAGAAGCATGGATGTGATCACACTTTTAAGTGGTGCCTATAGCAAAATACGAGCCAGTAGAGAAATTTCTATTAATAGATAAAACCTGGAGTCCTTGGTCCATGAAGTGGTAAAGAGCTTGATCTTGGTCTGCTCTGACTGCAGCTAAGATTAATATGTACTGTCCTTGCCCAATGTATAGGCTAAGCATTTCCAGAGGGTGATAGGTAGGGATGGTTGTGAGAAAAAATCCTTAACAAGGGGTTAAGAGTCAAGTTCTAAGTCTCCCTCTTGCAGAATTAAGAACTCCTTTGGCTTTTAAGACAATATTAGAACTGCTATCAGATTCTTCTAACTCCCAAGACTCAGGAGCTGTTCTGCTTGTTACATAATTTTTTTCAGGGCAAATATCTCCTGATTTCTAGAACACCCCCTGGGGCTTAGGTGCTGCAACATAGTGGCTGGATCTGACTTATTTCCAGGCACCTCTCCATGTCCCGGTTTGTCTTGTGTCATCAGTATTTCACAATCTCTTGTTAATTGTTTTTTAAACATTAAAGGGAAATGACAGTAGAGAGTAAAGTAACAATCACGGTCAATCCAGAGACTACCCTCTTCTGAGGGATCCAGCAGGAGACGTGCCCCTTAGATTGGTGTTTGTCAGTGTAAGGCAGATTGGGGTATAAGTTAGTCAGCAACAGAGAAACATGCTATTCAAAGAACCAGTAAATCAGTGATACCATACACCTAACCAAAAATAGGAGTCAGTGGGAAACTACCTGGCATAGGAAGAAAAGGAGTTTTCATTAGTATAAAAAGAAGTAATGTTCCTAGCGATCATGAACAACTGAACATTTACTAACTGGTAGGAATGACTGCTGAATGACCATGCTTGCAGAGAATGTGAATAGAAGGATATGGTCATTTGGGAAATGGTAAGATGAAATAAAATAACCTGGTAGGAGCTATTGCAGTTCATTTTCCTCTTAAAGATCCAAACAAACTATATATGACAAGTAGAAATTGATATGTTACAAAAAGGAGATAACTTTATAAATGTTAAGATTATCATAGGTACTTGCTATCGGCTTTTTCAGTCCCTATCTTGCAGAGGAGGAAGTGAAGGATTAGGAACATGGGCTTTCAAGGTCTTATAGTTAAAAACTGATGAGGTCAGACTTTGAACCCAGGTAGTAAGAACCTAATCTCCCAGTAGAAAAATATGGCACTTAAACAGGCAAATCACAGAATAAATGCCCATCTTCAGTATCCAGCCTTACTGAATTAAAAATGGAAAGCAAGAGTTAAAATAGTACTTAACCCCTCCCCCCAAAAAAAGTCACTAGCAAGGATGCAGGGAAACTGGGACTCTCATGCTGCTAGTGACAAATGAATAGATAATAACTGGCCATCAGTACCAGAAGCCTTAAGCAATGCCTTTTGACTTACGATTCTTCCAGGAAATAATATGATTCAGAAACCATCATAAATGTACAAAATCTTAAAATCTCTTAAGTGACGTGGATTACTATTAGAAGAAATGGCAAAGCACTCATATCATGTTAAGTAAAAATGTATGTATAATGTTATTTCATGTAAAAATTATTTATGCATTAAAATACAGGAGATACATACTTTCAGAGTGCTATACTGGTTATCTTTGGGTGATGAAATGATGGCTGACTTTTTTTATTATAATAGTTTATTTTTACATCATTTTGTGCCTTTTTTCATCTCAGTTGTAATCTCCATGGACTTCCCATCACCATTTCACCTGTGTGCCATCACTACAGTCCCATGCACTGCCTACCCCAGCCCCAATTTTTTGATCCCATTCCCCACTCCACCCCCCTAAAATGTCTCTGGTATATAGTTGTTCACTATTCTTCTCCCCCCCACCCCACCCCCACCCTAGTCCTTTATGCTCCTGCTATGAGTGAAATCATCTGGTATTTTTCTTTTTCTTTCTGACTTATTTCACTAAGCATGAGCCCTTCCAGCTCCACCCATCCATGTTTCAGCAAAAGGTATGAGTTTATCTTTTTTGATCACTGAGTAATACTGATGGCTGATTTTTTTTCTTGTGCTTTTCTCTGTCTTCCAAATTTTTCTACTCTCTCTCTATATATATGTGTGTGTGTGTGTGTGTATAATTAAAGAAGTAAGGCTAGTCAAGAAATACTTTCATTTCTTAAGAAAATTACACTTTCTATAGAATCTGTTTCTCCCAAGTCTTAAGAGAACTTGTTAACTCTGATCTCTTATTTTCTCATTGATAAATAACAGCAGATTTACCCAAAAAAGGATAAGTTATAAATATATGCGATGTAATTGACTGCATAAAGATTAGTAGTTGAGAGAACCAATAGCCCTGAAGTGAAAGTACTTGTTTTTGTTAGTGCCTTTCTATAGATTCTGCAGCCATAAGCAAGTCACCTCACAACTCTGGACCCTAACTTTAAAGCCTAGGCATATAAATCTCTTGGTTAAAGCTTCAACATTCTATGTTTATAAAATGGAAGGGGACACTGATACTAGCTATTAGATGTAATTGTTTTTCTCCACCATCAATTTTGAAAAGTAAAGTACCTCCTGCCTTTCCATTATGCTCTTGACCCTCGGATTTCTCTTAGCATAGCATGGGAGGAGGAGGAATAATGTCTACCTTAAGAGGATCTTGCAGATATGAAAATAATGCGCAGTTTGGACAAGGTGCTTAATAAATACTGATTACCTAACTCTTCCCTTCATCTCCATAGGCTGCAATTAACACTGTTCAGCAAAGATTAGATATTTAAAGTAAATCTAATGTTCACCTTTACAAGCTTTTCTGAAAGCCTTTGCTTCTCTTGCCTCAAGGGTCCTTACAGCAAGAGGAATTGCCATTTGGAATAATTTTCAATATAGGAGGCCCTGCCCTAGAAAGCAGTCCTCCACAGTCGAAGGAGTGAGCCTATAAGTAGATTCCACTTAAAGCCAGCCACCACCCTGCTTTCTGGTGGATCAGGACCAAACATTTCTAGTCAGTATTGTGGCTTGTTGTCTAGCATAAGGACCACAGATCTAAAGGGATAGTGGGGGTCTTTGTGCATGTGTTGTGTGTTTCTCTGGAGGACCTGAGAGGAAGGAGAGGCCATGGCAGTCCCTAGGCTCTTGTTTTCAAAGGGGATGAAGTCCTAATTCTGGTAGATACTACAGATATATATATATTGCTTAAAAGAGACATTTTTTTTTTATATCCTACCAGAAGAGGCTAATTCTTGCTCTCATTCCCATGTCTTTCAAGTACAATGCAGCCCCACATTTCCCCTTGGTTTGTTTTTGTTTTTGCATGGAAGGATTGGGGTGTAGGCCAAAGATGTGGGGGTGAGAGGATACACCAGGCAGAGTGGAGAGCAGAACAGGCAGACTTACTGAAATATACTGCTGAGAGTAGCAGCAGGTGAGACAGGAGAGGTCTGCTGTGCCATATGTGAATTAGCTCCATAGGTAGGGATTGAACTCAGGCCGTGATAGCACTGAGACTTAACCCCAGGGAGGCCTTCCGCTGGTGAAGTACAGCCCCAGGAACCAGCCGTCAGTTTCCAGATACTTTGTTGTCCCACAGGAAAAAAAGCAAAGAGCCCCACTTGACCCTACCACAACGCCTTCCTCTGTCTTCATCATACCCCTACCTGGGCTGTTGTGCTCCCTACTCCTGGTGAATAACTGCAAAACAAAAATTTTATTATTTAGAACTCAAAATTTTATTATATTTTGCATTATATTCCAAGTAGAGTATATACTCATAGTATAACTTTAAAAATAAGTTACTAAAACTAATTTACCAAGCAAGAACTTTTACCAAATACTAGGATGGGAGAAAAAAACTGATTGAACGTACCCCAAAGTGTTACCAATGTTTCTATAGGTGGTAGAATTGTCAGTGAGTGACTTTCTCATTTTCTGTATTATCAACATTTACAACTAATTCACAACTAGGAGAAAAGTATTAACATTAAAAATAAGATGTCTTCTTTAGAATTGACTATCTCAAAGGGAAATCAGGACATCTTAGAAGAAAGCCAAAATTTCTCTTAGGTAATAAATACAAATTAAGAGTGCCAAAATAAAAATTAGCAGAAAAGTAGAGTTCTAAGGAATCCAAGGAGTTCAAATAAGCATTGTCTTCAAGTAGTGATGTGAGGGAAAGGATAGGGAATTCAGAATATTGGAACCTGGGAAGGCAGACTCCCTGTGTTCCTTCCTGCATGCTGCCAATTTCCTGGCCCCAGAATCATGAGACACATACTAGAGTCTCCACTGCCCTGTAGCCCTCAATATGTATTCTCTCTTCGATGTACATACAAACCTTTTCCCACAATACACACCAAAATCTTCCATCATATTTATTCTCTGAAGTACTCAAGCTCTGTCAGGTCTCTCTGGGTCTGGAACAAGCTAACCAACTCAGTGATTATAAAAAGAGAGAGGAACCAACACTTTTCCTGGGTGCTGAACCAGGGTCTATGAAAAACAATTCCAGTTAAGAATCCTGATGAAGGGGTGGAAACACATCCTCCCTTTATGCCACAGTGTGTGCTACAACCTCTACTTGTAATGTTCCTTCCATCTTGCCCATGACCTGGTTAACTTCTACCACCTATTACATATGAGATTTCATCACGTCCAGGAAGTCTTAAGTGATTCATAGAGACCAGATTAAGTACGCCTGCCATTTATTTTGAGAGAATTCTGGATTTATCCTGCCAAAGCACTCAACACTTTATTGTATATCTCATTAGTCCTTAGAGAGAACTATGTGCCTTCAATGGATGGCACATAGCAGGTGCTTAATAAAAAGTTCCGAACTGCCCTCAGTAGGAAGCTCAGGACTGAGGAGAAAACTGGCAAAGAGGCAGAAGTAGCTGCCATCTCCCAGATATTACTAAACTGACCCAGGGCACAACTTATTATTTTTGCAACCTCACAATTAAACATTTCAGGCTGCTGAATAGCTCAGTATATGCCTCCAGCTGTCAAATGCAGAAATGCTCTTGCAGGGTGAGATTCTTGCCAGGGGAGGCATCACCTTAGTTCATTGTAAATGGAGCTCTTCCAGTATCTCTGCCCAACTCTGAACCTACTGCAAAGTTGTTCACTTACCATTTCAACAAATGTGGATCTGCACTACAGTAATGAACAAGGGAAAAGAAACAGAGATCTGCTCTCAGTAAACTTCTGTCTTCTATGGAGTCTTCACCTTCAAAGGGAATTCCTTGTATTTCACCATTGTACAATTATTACTCACAGAGTTAAACTCTGGTGTGAGTTCTCTGATGCTGCATAAGGCCTGACCTATGCCTAAATGTTTTCTTACACTCACTACATTCATAAGGCTTCTCTCCAGTGTGGATTCTCTGATGCTGGGTGAGGGCTGAACTCTGATTGAATGATTTTCCACATTCATTACACTCATAAGGTTTCTCTCCAGTGTGAATTCTTTGATGTTCCATAAGGATAGAGCTTCTACCAAAAGCCTTACCACATTCAATACATTCATAGCCTTTGTCTCCAGTGTGGATTTTCTTATGCTGAATAAGGGCTGAGCTCCGGCTGAAGGCTTTCCCACACTCACCACATTCATAAGGTTTCTCTCCAGTGTGAATTCTCCGATGCCTAACAAGTTCTGAGCTGCCCCTGAAAGCTTTTCCACATTCACAGCATTCATAGGGCTTTTCACCACTATGAATTCTCTGATGTCTGACAAGGTCTGAGCTTAAACTAAAAGCTTTACCACATTCTTTACATGCATAAGGCCTCTCTCCTGTATGAATTCTCTTATGTCTAATCAGCTTTGAGCTCTGGCAAAAGGCTTTCCCACAGTCAGAGCACTCATAGAGCCTTCTCCCAGCGTGACTTCTCTGTTGTTTTATAACATTTGAGTTCAGACTTAGACTTCCTTCACTTTCATTACATTCAAGAGCACTCTCTTTTGTGGTGATTTTCTTGTTGAAGGTTGCCAGGCTAAAATGTCTTTCCTGGGAAGGGAGCTGATTCATTGTGTTCCTTGCAGCATTTCCTTTCAGCCTGTCAACATTATCCAATCCTCCCAAAACTTCTTCAATTATCTGTCCTGAAGGAGTTTCTCCAAGGAGTCTTCTTGGTGATATTTTGGCTGCTGATGCTGCACATTCAATAATTTCTTGCTTTGTTGTCAATATTTTGTGAGTCACCAGCTTGCAATCTAAAAATATGAACAGAAAATGCAGGTATCATTTGCTCCTTGTGTTGGAAAAAAGGAATCTATTACTATAGGGATACAGATATGTATTTACCTACCATAAGAAAAATACTTATGACTAGTTCCTATTCTAAGTTTAGAGAAATAGGGATAGTGATGATAGTGAGAGGTGGTACCCTCGAAGGGTAAGGTGAAAGTAAG